CTTTCTTGTTCTGAAGCCCAATTATTAGCCCGCCTATTATTCTGAGATCATGGATACTTGAAAACAGATAAAAATAAAACTGGCAATAAAACACAGAGCTCCTGCCTCCCGCCCCATGCCAGGTCCTATGTTCACTACTTCACACATATTCTATTCTTTCAGGTTAATCTCACAATTATTCTGTGAGATGGGTACTCTAAGTCTCTATATGTGTAATTGAGGAAAATCAGTCTTTGAGAGGGGAGATGACTTGTTCAAGGTCATAATCTTAGGACGTAAAAGAGGAGGGGGAATTGTGCTCAGTCTGTCTAGACTCTTAGCCACAATAGTACCACTTCACACTATTTTGGAGAGGAATTTAGCTTTTTTGAGGTGGGGGAAGGACTTCACAATTATTACATCCTTACAAATCCTTACTATCTACAAATCATTTATAGATTTTAAATATAGTCTTACAAATCCTTCTTATCTACAAATCATTTATAGATTTTAAATATACATTAACTCTGCTTCTGTTGTTTATATCAGATCCTGAAGTGAAACCCCAGGGCTGTATTAACATTTTCTATCTGAGGAAAACAGATGCAGTTAAAAAATAACCTGGATTAATACATCTTAAAAACTAAAATGATCCATAGGAATTGGAATAAAAAATAAAACAGGCAAAGTGGGGCCTAAAAGTTCAGGGTAAAGCAACTAGAGTCTGGATTTTCTTTTAAAGCCAAATGCTATCCCTGTTCCTGTTGATAAAAAGAGGCAGTAAAAATAACCAATTCACGTCTACTGACCTAGGTTTCAGCCCCACTTACTCTGGTAGTCATTAGCTCTGTGGCTTTGGGCCAGGCCCTTCTCTTCTGTGGGTCTCGTTACATTTTTACAATGCAAGCTTTCAACTAGATATGGATTCTCCCAGTTCTGTAAATTCACATATATAGAGCTGCATGAAGAGGGAACAATCTACATGTTAAGTAAGAGTTAAAGAGAAAGGTTTCAAAGACTCGAAGTGTAAGGAAATAATGAGTAGAGAGTAATTCTCAGAGATAGAACTGAGAACCCTATACATTTTTGGAAAGTACTGTATCTACCTATAAGACCTAGATTTAGGATGGGAACAGATATGATGGCAGGTTTACTGCCTAATGCGCTTACTTTGTGATGAGAAGTTCTTGGCTAGAAACAGATGCTATTCTTCAGGCAGACTTGACATATTTTCTTCTGAATTTAAAGTGTCTGGAGCAGGATCTAGGGGAGAGATCCTGATTTTCAGAAGACTGACCTGATGGAGCAAAGTCTGGGTCATAAATCACAGGAGGATCTTGAAGGTATTCAGGCACTTAGGAGCTGCCATTCACCCCCAGGCTAAAATAAGTAGAAGTACTAGTAAGTAGAAGGGAGGAGCCACAAGCCTTACCTCTCCCAGAATTGCTCAGTTGTCAAGTGAAGCCAGATCAGGCCATGGCAGTCCCAGGAGTTATCTGCCTGGGACAGATATGGACCTTGAAGCTAGAGGGGGAAGGTGGAGACTAAACTCATTAAGCTGGGATCCAAGTCCAGGTTCTAAGGCATTTATGACAGGGAGGGGAAGGGATAAGGCTTGTGCTCTGACTCATGAATAACAACAAGAAACAGGTTATTATAGACACACTTGAGTCAACAGAATGAAGGTTTCAGGCCAGTGAGACCAAGTTTCCAAGTGTATATTACTTAGTCATCAGTTTTACTGAGAGCTCATACAGTATTTACTTCTACAAGTCCAGGGCATATTTCTGGTGCCTTCTCCAAGGGTTCTCTTGAAAAACATTTTGAGTTAATGACTATAGATCAGGGTTGGCAAATGTTTTTTTATAAAGGGACAGTTTAGTAAATATTTCACTGTAGAACATTGAGTTTCTGTTATTACTTAGGTCTGCCATTGTAACTCATGTGGTATATCTATGTTCCAATACAAAGTTATTTATAAAAAAGACATGGAATAGGATAGATCTGACATATGAGCTATAGTTAGACAATTCATACTATAGACAATTTATTTGGCAGTATAAATATTTGCAGTATGGCCTCATTATTATTATTTTTTTAGAGAGATTTTCGCTATAGGGTGCATGTGCTCGCCAGACAGACAGAGAGAGACATAGAGACAGGAAGCGAGAAATCACCCCCCAGGGAGAATGGTCACACCACAATCCCTTCTCCTCCGTTCTCCTCTCAGGATCTTGGGCACGCACGCACACGCGCCCGGCTTGAGTTTTAAGCCACCAGGGATGGGATGCGAACCACAGTCAACTCTGTGGGAGTCCAGTGACATAGCCATTATGCTAACTGCTGGTTCCCATCAATATGGCCTCATTATTAAGAATATAGAAACTGGATTCAAACATACTGGACTGAAATCAAAACTCTGCTATTTTACAATTCTGTTACCTTAGGAAAGTACTTTAATCATCCTAATAGTCAATTTTAACCTTGGTAAAATGTGGATAGTAATACTACCTGTTTCATAAGGCTATTTTGATGACTGAAATAAGATTATGCACATGAATTATTTAACAAAATGATTGGAACCTACTTACAGCACAAAAATGAGAATTATAATTTTCAATTTTTACCCAAGAAAGAAATTTATTATTTCCTCATTCTTGAAAGACAACTCGTATCGGTTCATAGTAAAAGGCGAACTACTACAGCAATCCTGGCTTTAAGTTCTACTAATGCTACTAAAGAGTATTCAGTGATCCTGGACAAGTCCTTTTACCTATCTAGGACTCAGTTCCTTAACCTATAACATGGAGAAGATGGTCTATATTGGTCATTTGGCAGCAGAACCCATTCCCCAAACATAATCCTGGTAATCACCCACTATCCATGAAAGATTAACGTGGAGCTGTCATTTGTAAAACTAGGAGAGAGTAAAGAAATGGGCAAGACTGAAAGGACCCAGAGCTTGTCCACTTGGTAGGCTTATCCTCCCAGAAAACGTAGTTAACCCTGGAACACCAAGAAACATCTAGAACACTGAAAGCACGTATGAGAAGCACAAGACTAAAATATCCTAAAGAAGGCCTCAAGTCTTAAATTTCTTCACTAATCAAACCCTTCATTAATTCATTCAGTTAATCAATATTTCCAGATTACCTGTGTATAGACTATCACAAGCACATGACCCTAAAGTGGCTCAAAAGATGAGAGGCCCAGAGACCTTCACATAAGAAACAACATTGTCAAGCATGAGAAGCACAGGTTTTGGAGTCAGAAATACCAGAGTTTGTATACTGTCTGGCTCCTTCTGAGTTGTGTGACCTTGGGCAAGCCACTTAGCCTTTCTGAGCCTCTGGTTCCTCATCTGTAAAACTGGACCAATAATATTTTCATTGGGATATTGTGAGACTTAAATAAACTGGCATTTCTTTTTTTCTTTCTTTTTTTTTTTTTTTGAGAGGTTTTCCCTATATGGCACGTGTGCTCGCCAGACAGACAGAGACATAGAGACAGAAAGCGAGAAATCACCCCCCAGGGGGGATGGTCATGCCGCAATTCCTTCTCCTCCATTCTCCTCTAGGGATCTTGGGCACGCATGCACACGTGCCTGGCGTGAGTTCTAAGCCACCGGGTCCGGGATGTGAACCACGGTCGACTACGTGGGAATCCAGCAACATAGCCATTACACTAACTGCTGGCTCCCATAAACTGGCATTTCTATGAACCCTTAGCATAGTGCTCAGCATGTGGGGGACCTTGAGTAAACTTTCTTTTTTTCCCCATCTTTTATGCAGCAAAATCTTGTGATAATATCAGGTGCATAGTAAAAACAAGAAGCTGTGAGCAGTGGCCTGACATAGCTGATCTAACTGCTTTATCTCAGAAGCTTCTGATGAGCTTGTGCTTAGCAGTTCTTGAAAAGAAGACTTTGGGAAAAGATGGAGGAATGTGAGGAAGAAGCAGTTATCCTCCAGAGATCACACGCTGAAGACACAGCCTGCCTTTTTCACTCCCACCACAGCTTCTTTTTTTTTTTTTTTTAGAGAGGTTTTTCACTATAGGGCGCGTGTGCTCGCCAGACAGACAGAGAGAGACATAGAGACAGAAAGCGAGAAATCACCCCCCTGAGGGGATGGCCATGCCGCAATCCCTTCTCCTCCATTCTCCTCTCGGGATCTTGGGCATGCACACACACGCGCCCAGCGTGGGTTTTAAGCCACCGGGTCCGGGACGTGAACCGTGGTTGACTACGTGGGAGTCCAATGACATAGCCATTACACTAACTGCTGGTTCCCAACTCCCACCACAACTTCTGACAAACAGATTCCATGGTTGTGTAGAGTGTCTGTCCTGAACTCTGGAGACACTTTGCTTCTTGAACTCAGGCTCTTAAATTCTAATTCCAATTGCTGCTTTCCCCAGTCCTCTAAAGCACTGGATGTCAAACTTGAGCATGCACTGGAAGGGCATTTAGACTCCAAGTTTCTGCTTCTGTAAATGTTGAGTGAGACCAAAGAATTCACATTTCTTTTTCTTTTCGTTTTTTTGGTTTTGAGAGATTTTTGCTATAGGACAGGTGTGCTCATCAGAGAGACAGAAATACAGAAAGCAGGAAATCATCCCCTGGGGGGATGACTGTGCTGCAATACCTTCTCCTCCATTTTCATTTTGGGGTTTGTGGGTATGCACACACATGTGCCCTG